CAGAAATTTTGAATATTACTGTGTATAATCTAATCGCAAGGGTGGATCCATGCAGGGACGGGCAAATGGGGACTGTAGCTCACAGTCTGAGCAGAAAAAGTGAACTGACTTGTATTATTTTCAATGTTGTTTATAAGAAATAAAGCCCATTTAGTCCCCCTAAAACCATTTAGCCCCCATTAAAATCTCAGCTGGATCCGCCCTTAAATCACATATATAAAAATATGTATTTCAGTTCAAAGGCTGTGTTCAATTCTCGTTCACCAACGAAGACTTTGGCTTGATAAATTCTAGTTTCACCAGCAATTATTTTAGAAATAATGCGAAACTCATAATAAATGCGAATGTCACTGAGGAAGTTACTGGAGTCACAAAGTCTAGACACACAGAAACCGAAATAGAGCCGTTTAGATTGAAGATTACTTTTAATCCAGACACAACGAGGTATTTCTGGCCTGGTCTAGCATTCACTGATGTGGTAAGTGTGCCATGGAATGGTAAAGTTTTTATCAGTACTCGAAATTATATTTTTATTTTATCCGCGGCAGGAAACGCTGAGTCACCCTCGTGTATGTAGTGCATTCCAGTACGTGTGAAAAACCAAACCCAAATAGTTGTAAATTGTGGAATATAGTTGAGATCACATAATTTAATAGAATCTAGGCGTACTTAGTCATTAAAGTTTTCCATTAGTTAGTTTTTTTTCACTGTATTCTATAACTTTGTTGTTAACAGTTGTCAGTGACTACGATTGATGGAAAGCCCGCGAACAATGAGAAAGTCAATATCATAGCTCAATCGCAGGGTAATGTTAAAATATTTGAGAAGCAATACACAGTTTACGATGGAATCATCCACTATGAAATACCTACGATACCCTCTAATGTCAAGACTCTCTATATCAAGGTAAACCATTCAAATTATATACAATCTATCATACATGGCCAACTATTCCAGTTTTCGAGCCCGCGTTGAGAAAGCGGTTACCCCCAATGAGTTTCAAAATGGCTTAACCAAAAGTACAGAGATTTGATAGCCGCGAGCCAAGAAATGACAAATAAAAGTACTCTTTTAATACAAAAGTTAATTTGCTGTGTTTTCCTAATATACAGTTATTCCTAAACTCTCATTCTGGCTAATAAAATATTAAAAAAAAGCGTTTTAGTGTTTACTTTCTTTTAGTAAATCATTCGGACCTGAAAACGGCATACTGCTTACAAAATATCTACACAAAAGCAATACAACTGACGAGTAACAGTGCGGATTATCGAATTACTGAAATTCATATGAAATTTGCCAGGTGAAATCTAAAGAATACACTAACCCTGGAGTCCTTATACGAGAGCTTGTTCATTTTAGCAATGTTTTGATGTTTACTTTTTGTCGTTGAAAATGCTCTAAAACGTCTTCATTCTCTCCTGTGGTGAAGTTCTGTGTGCCGACTTCCTGTCTGCCAATTTCAGTGAATTTCCAAGCAATTTTAGTACGTAAAATTCCGTCAAATATCGACATGTTTGGTATCAAACTATCGCTTGAAAACACAGCTTTCTAAGCTTGCTAAGATCTCTGGGATTCGCTGAAAAGCAGTAAAGATGACCAGCAGTTTCTAATGCTGCAACTTTACTTCCGGTCATTTTTCCCGCGAAAATCAAAACACGTTCTAGTAAAACTGTAAACATGTCTGATCTTTTGCGAAAATACGACCTTGAAAAGTTCAAAGAAGACGTATGTGTGGATACACATCATTGTTTGAGGTATCTTCGGACCCAAGTCATTCATGAGAATGAAATTGCTTTAACTCTACACATCACTTATCGATGTTTGAGGAAATGGCACGGTCTCTCAAGGCAGTTCGGCTTGTCATATATTGCATTGGCAAATGCCTTTCTTGCTGAAAATTATGCTGTGAAAATCAGAGATTCCAGTACACGTATCGAAGACCGCCTACGTAGACTAGCCTCAGAGGTAAACAGCAATTTTGTCGGTAAGAGGGGAACAATACACATAAAATATGGGATGAAAGTAGCGAATATCGCTATTAGAAACAGCGAGCTACGAAAGATCGCCGAGGTTGAGAGAGAGCTACATGAATTGGCCAAAGAAAAATCTCTAATTGAAGATGAAAATAAGATTTTGCGTTCACGTTGTGAAGAACTGTACAATGAACTATTAAGAGCAGAGTTGAAAAACAAGGAAGCACAGGGGAACGATGAAAAAATGTTTGCAGACATACAACGATTAGAAAAAGAAAATCTGTCCTTGTTACGATATTTAGATAAAATAGAAGAACAAGAAAAGCTACCAAACAATGGGAAGAAAATTTCCGATCTTAAAGAAAGTCAAAAGAGACGCAAAATACGCGAACTAAAAACCAAAATTGATCAAGCTCTGTGGTTTGCAAAAACGTATGGTCTACAGCTTGGGTCTGTTGAACTCATCGACAAGGTTGGGGAATCCCACACAATAAATTACCAAACAGCAAAAAGAAAGGCCTATGAAAGCTTATCTGATGAAGATAAAGATAAAGTTAAGCAAATTTTGTATGTGACAGACAAGTTTTGTGTTGGTGAAGCTGCATACAGGGAATTCACTATGCTACCTGGAGGCGAACAACTGCCCCGATCCTATTTAATCAAGCAGTGTAAGGAGGACCTTAATCAATTATGCCATGTGAGCAGAACACCAGGTGAAGCTGAAGGTGCTCAACTAGACTTTAAAGAAGAACTTACAAACAAAATAAAACAAAAGGTTTGTACTTATTTGTACTTATCAGTAATATTGGGGCAAAATCATAGGTCAGGGTGGGATTAATGGGATAGGAGTAGCTGATGAATAGATAAACCTTTCATTTCTTTGTTATTGATATTGCTAATATACTGTGAATTTTATTAACTTTTTCTATTTTATAGTTTGACTTAAATGATTTCAAAAACAACCCAGAATCAAAGCTGAGAGTGAAAATCAGTGGAGATGGTGCTAAGATGACAAGGCTCACCCATTTTGTGATTATGTCATTTTCTATTCTTGATAATGATGATGTTATGTCCTCAAAAGGTATTTAAAGTATTTTCTTTTATGATGAATTATTATGAAAAATTATAGAAATTAACATTGAACTCATTTTATTGCAAATAGGAAACTACACATTGGCTGTTGTTAAAGGAGAGGAAAGTTATGATCTCCTAAAATCTTCTTTTAAGGATCTGTTTCATGCCATAAATAATATTATTAAAGAAAAGAAAGTCAGGGTTAATGATATTGACATACCAGTTGAAATATTTCTTGGAGGGGACTACAAGGTATGAGATTAAATAATATTTGACAATATGAAATACCCTTACACTATAATATTTCATATCATACTGAATATTTTTTTCAGTTTCTATTGTTGATTATGGGTATGAAGGGTGCTACTGCAGACTATGCTTGTATTTGGTGCACCATTCACAAAAGCAACAGGTAATGAATTTCTGTAAAATGTCACTAATTACAATCAAAGCTGTCATAAATCAGTGTTTTCCAAATATATTTTGCTAGGCATGACATGTCAAAACCAGAGAAATTCTACCTTCAGGAAGAGAATGCAAGAACTCTTAACAAGATCAAAGAAGACTACAAGACTAGGAAGCTTTCATGTGAACATCAACCCTTGCTGGACATCGAACTAGATAATATTGTTATAGATGAACTTCACCTTATGCTCAGAGTGACAGGTACACAGTAAAACATAATATAATAGTATAACAGTAAAAGAAAATTGTGACTTCTTCTTGTCTATAATAGAATGCAAGCAACTAACTTGTAAAAAAATTAGTGTTCATCATATAAATGAATAATTATAGTTATTTAAAATAACTTCTGATTTATTTAACTCTACAGATGTTTTGACTAAAAATCTAGTTACAGAGGCAATTGAATGGGACACAAAAGAAAATTTAAACAAAGCCCCAAGTCAAAGAACAAACACCCATCTTGATCAGTTAAAAGAAGTAATAAATAGCTGTGGTGTTTCTTTTAATGTGTGGGAAAAAAAGAATGGAGATGGTAAAGGCAGTGGAATTTATGATTTTACAAGTCTTATGGGGTCAGACAAAAAGCTACTTCTTGAAAGTCTCCCATCCAAGCTAAAGGGCATAATAAAGCCAACCACAAGTGATACTGTGATTAAACTCTGGAAGGTAAAGCTTCCCTGTAAAAATTGTTATAATAAATAATGTAATAATAAATTTATACCCTTTTACAGGATTTTGGTGAGCTCTATGGCATAATCAATGCAAAAATAACCTCTGACACAGATATCTCAAAGTACTTTAAAAAGGTAGATTGATTGAATCATCTTGAGTAGTGTTCTGGTTTTATTATTGCAGGTAGCCTAATTACTGAAACTCAAAAAATTTTCATGTGAGATCAATGTCCAATGAAGAAAGAGGATTTGCAGTTATAACTCAGCTCTGTAAGAAGACTATTAGTGTCAATGAACTTCATTTCAAGGCCATTGCCAATTATGCACATCTTTTTGTTTTGTTTTAGGCAACCCAATGGATCTCCCTGTTTACTTCAATTGGAGGGACATCTACCGGATACCAGAAAGCTAGAGTTACCCCTTATATGCATGGTATGGTATATCATGTTCCTCACTTCATGAGAAAGCACACAGGAGTAAAGCAATTTACAGGTCAAGGTAAGAAACATGGCTCTTTTTAATTAACAAAASAATATCACATTACTTAAGCCTATTTATTAATATTGTGAAATAGGTGTGGAAAAAAATAATGATGATTGTAGAAGGATTCATCTACAAAAATCCAATAAATGGGATGCTGCAAAAGATGTTTTGCTTGTAAGCAAAAGACTTGAGGCTCTGGCCTCATATGAAAGAACCCCAAGATCCTATCTWAAGAGAAATGCAGAATACTGGGGAAAAGAAATTAAGGAAAAGCGGGCCAAACAAAAATTGTCCACAAAAACCACAAGAATGTGTGAAGAGGARGAGCCAAACACAGAAAACATGTCACCAAAACAGTTAAAAGATGCCCTTAAACAAATGGGTGTCATTACACGTGTAAGAAATGTAAAGCGTCTACAAGAATTATATGTTGATGCTATGAGAGAACAACAAAAATAGATTATCGGTACTTGAAATGTCCTAAACTTGAGCTAATATTAATACATTAGTTATTTAATCAATTCATACAGTAAGCAAGGTGTCAGCACTACAAGCCCTTTTGGCCATAGTTATGCACAATTTCTCAATAGGCATTCTTGGTGCAGGTATGGGCTTGCCATTACAATCACTGTATACATAAGTTTTACTTGTCCAGCTTAGTATTGGCTTGATTTTTAATGGGAAATCAATTGCTTGGCCCTGTMAATTTTGATCTAAATAAAACCACCAGTTACTTGGCAAAGTGCAAAAGAGATTGAAGTCCTCTTTTTGGTAAAGAGTATGACCCTTGTGTTCTGAAGGAATTCCTTTTGTATTGGATATATAACGCCAAATGTCAAGGTCCATATTAACATATATTGGTGCAATAGATTTGCCCTTCAATCCACTATGAATGGCACTATAAAAGTTACGAGCAGCCTCTTGTAGCCTGTCTTCACTTGGCCTGACTGGGTTGAGATAGTTCCTAAAAGGCAATACATTTCAAATTTATATTTGTTGACTTATATATGTTGAACATGTAAAATGTAAAGTACATCATGAATAGCCTGTTTGTGTAAGGTACTATGTGTAGAAAGGGAAAGTTTGAAAGTGCAGACAATTTTAACTAGTGTATTTTTTTCCTAATGTCAAATATCTTGAAATATATATAGACTCTCCATTAACTTTTAAACTACCACATGTAATAATTAATTTTGTGTAAAGAAAGAGCTTTGTTTGATATATATTTAGGACTTCCATTAAATTAGTCAAATTAAAATAAGCTTTACAATGTCAATAAATGTCACGAAACATCAGCAACAAATGCATCTCATAAAGTTGGAATTAATGCATAAATTTCAGTACCTCAGTAGTTGCGATGTTAAATGAGAGGCTGGCTCCCAACTACAGCTTTCAAGTGGCCATCCCAGCCATTTTATCAGGTATTTTTCATCCTGTATAATTCAATACATATAAGCTTCAACCATCAATTCATAGGAAGACAGCTAATGCAAAGTGTAAATAAACGATCTTTCTCACCTTATTCGTAGCTCGTTTTGTAATAATTCTTTCTACTAAAAAGAGCTTTGGGTATGTCTTTATGATACTTGGTTTAGTGTTAATATTTAAGGCCAGAGACAAATTATGAAGCTGATAATAAAATCCTTTTGCTGTAGTACTGCGCTTT